CTTGAGCCCAGGAGTCTGAGGTTGCTGTGAGCTAGGCTGACGCCATGGCACTCTAGCCCGGGCAACAGAGTGAGACTCTGTCTCAAAAAAAAAATTGTATAAGCTCCAGATGTGCTGTTATTTTTGGTTTATATAATCATCTTTTAAAGTGACAAAAAGCGTAAGAAAAGCATCTTGTGTATTTATTTACCCATCGTTACTGTTGGTGGTGCACTTCGTTTCTTCGTGTAGACCCAGGTTTCCTCCAGGTTTATTTTTGTTACGTCTGCAGGATTTCCTTTAGTATTGATCGTAATGCAGATCTGCTGGTGATGGATTCTTGAAGCTTTTGGTTGTGTGAAGATGTCTTTATCTCACCTTCGTTTTGAGAGGTATTTTCCCCGTGCCCGGAACTTCAGGTTGCCGTTTTTTCAGTACTGCCCACGTGTTCCTTTTCCACTTAGGTCATTTCTGGTGAGAAATTTGCTGTCATGTTGGTCTTTGTTCCCTGCTGCTTCTGAGATCTCGTCACTGCTTTTGAGCAGTTTGATTGCGGTCGGCCTTGGCACGGTTTTCTCTGTGTTTCTTGTGCTTGTAGTTGATCGAGCTTCTCGGATCTGTAGCTTTGCAGTTTTGAACCCTTATTCCTACAGGTGTCTTCCTGCCCCTGCTGTCCGCCCGGCCTTGTGCCCAGGCCTGCCCTGCACCGCCCAGCCCAGGTGCTTCGTCCGTTCGCGGTTCCTTGCGCTGGGTCTGCAGGTTCTCGCGCTTCTTCTGCAGCGTCTGAGCGTTCGTTCCATCCAGGCGTCTCTCATGGGTCTCACCTCTAGAAGTTCAGTTTGGATCGTTCTGAAATACCTCTCGTATCTCTGCTTTAAAACCACGCGGGATGCAGTTAACTGGCTTCACGTCTTGTCTGCCAATTCTGCCATCTGGGTCTGTGGGGGTCAGTTTCAGTTGACTGATTTTTCTTCTCATTGCGTGTCTATTTTTCTGCTCGGCAGGCCCGATTGCTTTTGCTTGGATGCTGTACATTCTGATTTTTCCCTTGTTAGGTGATAGACATGTGTATTCCTGTAGACATTCTTGAGCTTTGTTCTGGGACAGTTACTTGGAAACAGTCTGGTCCTCTCAGGAGCTCTGGCAGGTCTGGGGTGTGGTCAGCCAGAGCTGTCCGGAGGCTGCTCCTCCCTCCTGGGATGGCTGCTCGGGAGCACTGGGGACAGGGTGTGCCCAGGGACAGGGACAGGGAGCACTGGGGATAGGACAGGGAGTGCTGGGGATAGGACAGGGAGTGCTGGGGATAGGACAGGGAGCACCAGGGGAGGGAGTGCTGGGGACAGGACAGGGAGTGCCAGGGGCCAGGGAGTGCCGGGGACAGAGTGTGCCCAGGGACAGGGACAGGGAGCACTGGGGATAGGACAGGGAGTGCTGGGCGACAGGACAGGGAGCACCAGGGGAAGGAGTGCTGGGGACAGGACAGGGAGTGCTGGGGACAGGACAGGGAGCACCAGGGGATGGAGTGCTGGGGACAGGACAGGGAGTGCCAGGGGCCAGGGAGTGCCGGGGACAGAGTGTGCCCAGGGACAGGGAGCACTGGGGACAGGACAGGGAGCACTGGGGACAGGACAGGGAGCACCAGGGGACCCTTAGGGGATCTGATTCAGAGCTCAGACTTCAGGCCTCCTAGATGCCTTTTGGGACAGTGTGTCACTCAGGATCTGATGCTTCTTAGGGCTCCTGTCTTGGTTTCCTGGGCCACAGGGGTGTTGGCAGGTCCACACGAGCCACCTGCCTGAGGCCGAGCTTGTCCTCTGGGGGAGCCTGAGGCAGGTCCCCGCCATCCGTAGGTTGGGAGGTTTGTGTTCAGTGCTAGTCCCACCGGTTGCTGCTCTGCGTGGCCTTTCCCCTTGGGCTTGTGTGCCCAGACCCTGCGTTGTGGGGGCACAGGGTGCCTGTGGGGACCAAGGGTGGTGCTCAGCAGGGTGGGCACCTGGTCAGCCGTGCTGGTCGCCATGCTGCAAGGAACGCTGGTCAGACGGTCCCCTCTCCAGCAGGTGGAGAGAGAGCACAGGTGTCCTGCTGCCTGGGATCTGCTGAGTGCCGTCCTTCGCAGCAGATGAGTGTCCAGTCCCTGAGCCTGTGCAGCGGCCTGCCCTGCACTCGGGCAGGGTGGGTGCAGCCCGCTGCATGTGAACAGCCATTATGTCACCCACGGCAGCCAAGGGCTCTGGCCATGGCCACACAGGGCAGAGCTTTTGGACTCTGGGACTGCAGCTGCCCCATAGGGCCCAGTGCCCTCACCGCACTGCTTGAGGTGGGCGTTACCCCCTGTGGTACTTGGCCGTCACTTGTGGAGCCAGGCATGGCCTTTAGGCGGGAGGGGCCGGCCCTGGGTGCGGTGTGGGTGCTGGGCCTGCAGTGCCGACCGGGCCCTGCCTGCAGGTATGTGCAGCACTACGGCCTGGGCGCCGCCTGTGACGACATCGAGCGCGTGCTGAAGTGCGTGGCCGTGAAGCTGGGGAAGACGCAGAAGGTGAAGGTGCTCACGGGCACAGGTGAGTGAGGCTGCAGACACGGGGGCCTGTACCCCGACACCTGGTGGGGACTCCCCTCCGTCCCCAGAAGAGGCAGGGAGAGAGACATGTGATGGCTGTTCAGGGAACGGGTCTCGGGGCAGGGGAACAGAAGGTTCTAGAGGGGAAGGAGCTTGGCCCAGGCTCCAGGGGGTGAAACTGGCTCTGGCTCTGGTCCTGGCCCTGGGTGGTGCTACTTGTCTGGCCTCTGGAGGCTCCTGGTGACGTGGCTCAAGCTCTAGGTTCTTCCTGAACGTGTAAGGTTCCCGGGCTGCCCTGAAGCCGGCTTTGGGGTCCCTTTGGGGTTCCCTGCCTGAGGTACGGGCCCACCCTGAAGGCCCCTCCTCACCAGACCCTCCCATCCCAGGTGACGTCAACGTCATTCAGCCGAACTACCCCGAGGCAGCGCGAGACTTCCTCCGGACCTTCCGCAGGGGGCAGCTGGGCCCCGTGATGCTGGACCTCGATGTTCTGCAGGGCCGCCCCCCGGCCGACGCAGACCCCTGAACTGGGCGCGTGGCCTCCCACACCTGCCTGGCCTGGGTGTTTGAGGCTTGGGACAGCCTACCCTTTTCCAGAAGCTCCACGCCAGCCACCATGACTCGGGTCCCTGCTCCAGGAAGGGACGCGGTGCTTCTGGCCCCACCGCACCTGGCCGGCTCCTGGTTACCGGGGCACCTGCCAGCATCAGAAGAGTGTCCCGAGTACCTGGCCTGGCAGCGCCGTTCCTCCTCAGTGTCTCTTAAGGAGCTGAGCTATACTCTGAAATTTTTTAAATTCTGCATTAGAAGGCCCATCTTCGTTGGCCCATGAATTGTACAGCCCTAGAGCCTGGGCCCACATGTGTTGAAGCCCCTCTCACGCTTGGAACATGGGAAACAGGTGGGTTGGCAGCCAGAGTTTGTGTCAGGTTCTCAGACTGGAGACCTGTCCCCACAACCAGGGAGCCTCGTTGCCAGCAGAGGGTTTATTTCACACCAGCGAATGTGCTCACAGACAGGGACAAGGCGTTTTGAGTAGCAAAACCCAAGGACTGGCCTTTCCCCTCAGTGCTCCGGAGGGCCCATTTCTTGGGCCTGCGGACGGCTTTGCTGCGTACAGGCTGGGGGGTGCCTAGTGTGGGCAGTGGAGACTCCGGGCCTCTGAGCACCTCCTAGCTGACGGGATAGTGGGCCTGTGCTTCCGCGGGGCTAGGGGGCACTGCGGGGCCCTCCCAGTCTGGGCATCTGCACTTGAAGGAGCCTGAGGAACGTTCCTGCCTCCAGCCTGCGTCCTAGAAAAGTGCCGGGCAGGCCAGTGGGCTTGGGCGGGGGCGCAGACTCTGGGGGTGCTGCTGGGCCTGGGCTGGGGCCACCTGGTCTGAAGTTCTGGCCTTATCTCTGTCCAGTGGCGGCCTGGCTTTGTCTCTGCCATGCTCAGTGTGCAGCTGGCCTTCGTCTTGCGTGGGTGTCCCGCCTCGTCGGGGCTGGTCGGTGTCTTCCGCTGGCCCCTCCAGGTGTGGCTGCCCGTGTGGCTGCCCCACGCCCTGCACTCTCGGTACCTGAAGTGACCCCCAGCACCATCTCTTCCTGCTGGAACCCTGCCTGGGCGGGACATAACTCGGAGTCGCGGCTGTGCCATATGCTAATGCGCCAAATAAACTGTCACGGAAGAGTGATGTTTCTGACGTCTAGAGCTACGTCAGCTCCTGCGCCACGTGGCGTGTGAGGGTCCGGGTGGGTGTCTGAGCAGCCGAGGGGGCTCTAGTAGGTCTCCCTGCCCTTGGGACACTCAGACTGTCCTGCCTCCTTTGAGGAAAATGGCAGAACCTCTGCCTTTGAGGACCCTGGGCAGGGCTTATCCCCAGCTTGCTGGTCTTTGGTGGCACTGAGCTTGGTCTGGAAGGGACGGAGGAGCAGCTGGTGCCCAGAGAACGCTGGCAGTGTGGACCTGCAGAGCTGCGGGGAGCTGCCGCCTGCGGCTTAGGGCCCCAATGTTTGGAGGAAAGTGCTGGGTCCAGGGTCTTGCCAGTAGCTTCCAGACCCTCCCCTGGTCAGAGCCGACTGCTGGGGAGAGCAGAGGCTGGCAGGGCCTTGGGTGGTGCCGGCCTGACGCTGGTGTCCACCAGCAGAGCCACCTCCCAAAGGCTGGGAGGTCCGGGGGGCAGGCAGCTGTGCCTGATAGTGGAGGGCTGAGATCCCACGGCTGCAGGGTGCCGGGGCCCTGGGAAAACCCACCTACCTTGGGGTGGGTGGTTAGAGACCTAGAGAACTTGGCACAGAGCAGAGGCCCTGTGGTGCTGAGCTCTAGGCTGGCAGCAAAGGGTTGGTCTTTTGCACAGAGACGTAAAAAGCCTTGTCAGGACTAGCCCAGCGCTTCCTGAAGGCCACTTTGGGCGTCTCCCTTGTCCTCAGAATGTCCCTGGGCGGTCAGACCACCCTCAGTGGTGAAGGGGGCTCAGCTTTCTCCTGTGAGTTCTTTGCTGCTGAGCCAAAGCTGGTTCTTAGCTCTGGCTGCACCTGCTGGCTGTTGGCCCCACTGCTGTGGTCACCTTTGCTCCAAGGACCTGCTGGTGGCCATGGTTGGCCCATGGGTCTCAGTTGAGCTGCTGGCTTCTGCCAAGCAGGCTGTCACCTAGTCCAGCTGCTTCCAGAAAGGGGATACCTGCTGGGAAGTCCAGGAGCCGCGCAGCTCGGGCTGTGCCCAGGGAGGGCTCTTGCGTGGGATCGGCAGTTGCCACACCGCTGAGTAGAGGTGAGAACTGTGTGACCCCCAGTGGGAACCTGAAGTTCAAAGGAAATGGGAGGCTCTGGAATGTGTTTTTTTCCTTCCCCAGAATGGGTCCCAAGAAAGTGACTGACTTCAAGTGGTTGGAGCAAAGAGGCTCCGAGGGAGAGGGGAACCAGCCCTGGCAGTGGGTCTCGCAGGGAGCCTGCCCAGAGGAGGGGGCACGGCCTCGATGAGGGCTCGTCTGGCAAGGCCCAGGCAGCCTCTGTGGGCAGGCGAGTTCGGGAG